GTGTTTACGAGTGCAAGCCGTTCGTTTGTAGCCCACTGTCGTAACCATTGGCCTCGGGAGTTGCCGTCCCCGAACCCATGGGGCCCCACGCAGTGGGAACAGATGTCGCCTCTGGGGTTGTGCAAGATCGGTGTCTCCGCTTGGGCGTTCATTCGGAAAGCGCGGTTGAGAACCAACTTGGGCGTTGAAGTCGGCACCCATAATTGTGTGTATGCGGCGGGAACGTGCTTCTTTCAGTAGAGCGCTGGCGGTGTCATGCAACTGTTGGATGTGGTGGTCCGTATACCCTGTGGGCGGGAAGTATGCCGATACCAATTGTAATATAAGCCTCCCCTTGCTGATGTTTAGAGCCGCGATTCTCGCATTGATTGCCTGAAACTCTGACACGTGTTTGCGCCAAAGCTTGTGTAAAAGGATTGCGACTCCGTGGGAACGGGTCTCGTTGCCAGACCCCGCAAAAGTGTGTCTGTCTGTCGTAATCCATAACTCGCGCTGTATTGTCCGCCAAGTTTCGTTGATTAGAACTGCATCCAAATGCGAGCCACACAAATCATGCAACAAAAGTTCATCGGTCCAGTCGTTCGTCTCCAGAGACCTTGCATAAGTTTGGATGACTGTGAAACTCATGATGCCAGACTCGTCGCAAATTGACTCTCGATGCGTCGGACAGGGTTGGGTGGAGGGGAAGAGGGGGACGGGAGGAGGACAGGGAGGGGAGGAGGAAGAGGGGAGGGGAGGTGGAAGCTGCTGGACGGCATGGGTCGGTGTTGCCTGTGGCGTTGCTGGTCGGTCGCGGTCGGTGGTGGACTGCTGGTCGATATAGGTTGGTTCTGCTCGTGGTGCTGCTGGTCGGTCGCGGTTGGTGGTGGGTGTTGGTGGAAGTTGCTGGTCGGTCTGGGTCGGTGCCGCCCGTGGTGTTGCTGGTCGGTCACGGCTGGTGGGCTGCTGGTCGGTATGGGTCGGTGCTGCTCGCGCTGCTGCTGGTCGGTCGCGGTTGCTGATGGGCACTGGTAGGTGGTGCTGGTCGGTCTGTGTCGGTGCTGCTTGTGGTGTTGCTGGTTGGTCGCAATTGGTGGTGGGCTGCTGGTCGCTATGGGTCGGCGTTGCTTGTGGTGTTGCTGGTCGGTCGCGGTTGTCGGTGGGCGTGGGAAGGAGCTGTTGGTCGGTATGGGTCGGCGTTGCCTCTGGCGTCGATGGTCGATCGCGGTGGGTGGTGGGCTGCTGGTCGGTCTTTGTGGGTGCTGCTTGTGGTGTTGCTGGTCGGTCTCGGTTTGTTGTGGACGCTGGATGGGGTTGCTGGTTGGTTTGGGTCGGTGCTGTCTCTGGTGTTGCTGCTCGGTCGCGGTTGGTGGTGGGCTGCTGGTTGGTCGGGATCGATGTTGCTTGTGGTATTGCTGGGTGGTCGCGGTTGGTGGTGGATTGCTGGTCGGTATGGGTCGATGCTGCTCGTGGTGCTGCTGGTCGGTCGCGGTTGGTGGTGGGCGCTGGTGGGAGTTGCTGGTCGGTATGGGTCGGTGTGAGTTGTGGCGTTGCTGGCCGGTCGCGGTTGGTAGTGGGCTGCTGGACGGTATGGGTCGGCGTTGCTTGCGGTGCTGGTCGGTCGCCGTTGGTCGTGGACGCTGGATGGAGTTGCTGGTCGGGCTGGGTCGGTGCTGTCCCTGGTGTTGCTGGTCGGTCGCGGTTGGCGGTGGGCTGCTGGTCGGTATGGGTCGGTGTTGCCTGTGGTGTTGCTGGTCGGTCGCGGTCGGTGGTGTGCTGCTGGTCGGTATGGGTCGATGCTGCTCGTGGTGCTGCTGGTCGGACGCGGTTGGTGGTGGGCGCTGGTGGGAGCTGCTGGTCGGTATGGGTCGGTGTTGACTGTGGTGTTGCTGGGTGGTCGCGGTTGGAAGTGGGCTGCTGGTCGGTCTGTGTCGGTGCTGCTTGTGGTGTTGCTGGTTGGTCGCGGTTGGTGGTGGGCTGCTGGTCGGTATGGGTCGGCGCTGCTTGTGGTGTTGCTGGTCGTTCGTGGTTGGTGGTGGGCGCTGGTGGGTGGTGCTGGTCGGTCTGTGTTGGTGCTGTTTTGAGCCGCAACGCTGTGAAGATGCTGATTGGTACGTCACCGTCGGCGTGGAGAAGGATAAAGGAGTAAGAGGAGGAGGAGGAGGAGGAGGCGAAGGAGGAGGAGCAGCAGCAGCAGCAGCAGGAAGAGGAGGGCCAACTCGCCATAACAGAAACGCGTCCAAGGGAAGCGGGTCTTCGAGAGAGCGCGCCCGTGGTACACTCCTCCCAAAAAGAAGGGGTCCCCCTTGGCTACCTTCCCCCCCCTTGGACCTCCTTGGCTGGAGGCCCCCGCCCCTCCTTTTCCTTTTTCCCGCCCCTCGAAAGCTACCCCCCTCTCCTCCTTTCGCGTTCCGGAAGCTACCCACCCCCCCTCCCTTTCCAAGGAGGGAGGCTTAGCTACCCCCCCCCTCTGGACCTCCCCTGTCGGACCCACTCCCCGTCGCACTCCAGAAGATACCCCTCCTCCCCCCTTTCCGCGCTCATGTAGCTACCCCCTCTTTGAACCTCCCCTGCCGGAAGCAACCCACCCTCCCCACCTTTTTAGCTAAATTAAAAAGAGGGGCTTGGAAGGCCCCCTCCCCTAGCTAAAGAAAGGAGCGCCGAAGACCAAAAGGGCGCCGAAAACAACAGAGCGCCGAAAACCAAATGGCCACCGAAAACCGAAAGGGTGCGGAAACCAGAGACGTGCCCAAAACAGAAGGAATGCCGAAAACCGAAATGGCGCCGAAAACCGAAGGTGGGCCGAAAACCAAAAAAGGCGCCGGGAATCGAAAACCAAAAGGGAGCCAAAAACTACAGAACCGCCGAAAACCAAAAAAGCGCCGAAAACTAAAGTAGCGCCGAAACCCAAAAAAGCGCCGAAAACCAAAATGGCGCCGTAAACCAAAAGAACTTCCAAAACCAAAGAGGCGCCGAAAATCAAAAAACAAAAAAAGAAAACCAGCGGGGCGCCGAAAACCAAAGATGCGCCAAAGACCAAAAGAGCGCCGATAACCAGAGCAGCGCCGAAAACCCAAAGAACGCCGAAAACTAAGTGGCGCCGAAACTCAAAATGGCGCCGAAAACCAAAGGGTCGCCGAATTTGACAAGGACGCCGAAAACCGAAGGGGCGCCGAAAACCAGCAGGGCGCCGACAACCAAACGGCCGCCAAACACCAAAAAGGCACCGAAAACCAAAACGGTGCCGAAAACCACAAGGGCGTCGAAAACCGAAAGGGCGCCGAGAACCAAAGTAGCGCCGAAAACCAAAGAAGCGCCGAAAACCAAAAGGGCGTCGAAAACCACAAGGGCGCCGACAACTCAAGAATCGCCGAAAGCCGAAAGGTCACCGAAAACAAAGAGGGCGCCGAAAACTAAGGGGGCGCAGAAAACCAAAGGAGGACGAAACCCAAAAAAACGCCGAACACAAAAAAGGGCGCCGAAAACCAAAGATGCGCCGGAAACGAAAAGGGTACCGAAAACCAAAAGGACACCGAAAATCAAGAGGGGCGCCGAACACGCAAGGGGCGCCGAAAACCAAAGTGGCGCCGAAAACCACAAGGGAAGCCGAAAACCAACGATTCGCCGAAAACCAAAAGGGGGACGAAAAACCTAAGGGGCGCTGATAGCCAAAAGGGCGCCGAAAACGAAAAGGGCGCCGAAAACAAAAGAAGCTCCGAAGACGGACATGGCGCCCGAAATAAAGAGGGCGCCGAAAACCAAAAGGGAGCCGAAAACCGCAGGGGCACCGTAAACCAAAAGGAGCGCCGAAAACCAAAGAGGCGCCGAAAAACAGAGGGGACCCGAACACCAAAAGAGCGTCGAAAACCAAAGGGCGCCAAAAACCAGAGGCGCGCCGAAAGACAAAGGGCGCCGAAAACCGAAGGGCGCCGAAAACCGAAGAGCGCCGACATACAAAAGAAAGCCGAAAACGAAAGGAGCGCCGAAAACCAAATAGGCGCCGAAAATCAAAGGGGCACCGAAAACCACAGGGGCGCCGGAACCCTAGAGCGCGCCGAAAACCAAGAGGGCACCGGAAACCGAAGCATGCGCAGAAAACCAGAAGGAGCGCCGAAAACCGAAGCAGCGCCAAAAACCACAGGAACGCCGAAAACCAAAGAAGAAAAGTAGCTTCGAAGCCCCACATTCAGCCAGGGCCCTCCAGCTAGAAAAGCCAACAGAAAGAGGGGAGGGGGAGGTAGCTTCGGAAGTCACCCCCTCAGTGACAGAAGCACACCAGGCTTACCCCGGGCGTAGCTTCCAAGCCCCCCTCCCTTTAGCCAGGGGCCCCCCAGCTACAAATTCCAAACAAAAGGAAGGGTGCGGTAGCTTCGGAAGCCCCCCCCTTTGAAAAAGGAGCCCAGGCTGACCCTTGGGCTCCAGAAAAGTAGGAGGGGAGCTTAGAAGCCCCCCCCTCTAGCTAGGACCCCCGTAGCTCCGAAATGCCCGCAGAAGGAAGGAAGGGGGGGGGAGTTTTGGAAGCCCCCCCCCCTTTTCCACGGGAGGGGGAAGGGGGTAGCTTCAAGCTGGGGGCCCCCCTTTCAGTGAGAGGTGTGCCACGAACGCGCTTTTTCGGGCCTTCCCCTCGTCCAGTCCTTCATTTAGGTCGGGCGTGTCCTCCTACAGGCGGATTCTGGGCGAAAAATTAAAAATAGTCCAGAAATATACCGAAATGGTCAAAACAAATCTTTCTAACAATCGTCCCCGTATTATTGTTGGGATAATTTTCAACACAGGAACATGCCCGACTTAACTCTTCGTCCTCGGTCGTCTTGTCGACGGCCCAAACAAAGCCGACCCCGCGGAGGGGCCCCTAGGGGCCCAATGGGGGCGAGACGCCTTGAGGGCCCGTGTCCTCCAGGGGGGCCCTCCCCCCCCTCGGCGAGGGGGAGGGCGTCAAAGAGAAGGGCGTCGAAGAGGGGGGCTGGCATTAAGTCGGGCCTGCCCCTCTACAGATCTGGGGACCATGTTTTTCTTTACTATATGTTTGACACTGTTGGAATCTTCGTTAACTATATATATATATATATATATATATATACGTTTCGTCCAATATTCGCCTGTAGGGGGACATGCCCGACCTGAGGCTGGCACATCATGGCCGAAGGCACGTGCTCGGCCCAGGGGGGGGGACCAGGGGGCGCCCTGAGAGGCGATCCGGGGGGCCCTGATATCCGGGGGCGCATCATGGCCCAGGCAAGGATCTTCAACCTCCCGCCGGTCATCGCCCCCTCTTGGGGCACACAAGCAGATCGGCACAGGTCCCAGGATTTCCGGATGGGTTCCAAATATTCTGGAGGCTCGTCTTTCATTGCACGGACCTTGCAGACGTGCGGCAAAGGATTGTCGCGGGGATGCCTGTCAACGCAAACCCCGAAACGGCGAGCGGAAAACGGAATGAATTTCACGTGGAGTAATCTTCGCCCCCAGCCCCCCAAACAATCCTCACCAAATTCAGCTCGAAATCCGGAACGAAACTCTCCAGGACAGTCGGGGCCCACCCCATTGTTTTCCGAACGGAATCCGCTCTGCGATGATGGGGCCACGAGATCTTGGCCGCCCCCGACGGAGGAGGCAGGGGAGGCGAGGCGCCAGCGGCCCGCCAGGCCCGTACTGCCAATACTCGCAGTGGATCGAGGAGTAGCACCACGCCTCGCCCGGGCGGGCGCTCGCCCTCCCAGGCCCCGGGCTGCGCGGGCGGCGCGCAGCCAGCAGCGCGACGGGCGGGAACAGAGAGAGGAACGAAGAACGACACAAACATAAAACCTCGGTCAGCGCGGATCTCATGGATTGGCGCTGGATCCACCTCCCTGGCGCGCGGAACGCGTCCGAGGCGGCGCCGGAGGCGCCGCCAAGGGGGTCCACCGCGGATCCGAAAAATCCGCGCGGACCTCCGAGGTTCTGTTGATGAAATCCCACCAGCCCTGTGGGCGCAGGTGGTCTAACAATGTGTTTTTTTCCTCTTCCAAAAAACCCCTCTTCCCCTTCGGGGAGGGGTTCACTGCTCCCCCTGCCCCCTCTCCCCTGGAATTTTTGGGAGGGGGTCGCGGGTGGTTGGGGGGCCCTTTTTCGGCCCCTGGGAGGGCCAATTTTTGACACCCCTTACGAAGATCGTGGCCGAGGGGGGGAGCCGATCGGGCGCCCCCCTCCTTTGATCGATAGCCTCGAAAATGGCCCCAAGAGGAGCTCAGGGTTTCCAAGAGAGCCCCAAGACAACCCTTCTTGGACCCCAAAAGGGTCCCAATAGGGCCCCAAGAAGGCCCCAAGACGGCCCCAAGATGCTCCCGAGCGGCTTCAGGGAGCCCAAGATGACCTCCAAGATGGCTCAGAGAGCCCGAAATGGCTCAAAATGGCCCCCAAGATGCTCCAAACGGCCCCAAGACCGCTCCAAGAGCGCGCCAAGAGGGCCCCAAGAAGCGGTCCACAGGCTCCTGAGGGGGGAGCTGACTTGGGGACCCCCCATCCTGCAATCGATGTCCTGTAAGATGATCCCAATAAGCCTTCCAGGGTCACCGAGAAGGTTCCAAAAAGGACCGCGAAACTCCCAAAGAGCAGAAGCAGCTGCAGCAGCAGCAGCAGCCGCAAGAATACTTCTTGATGGTTCCATGAGTCCTCGTCCGCGTCGTCCTCATCCTAGTCCTCGCCCTCCTCGCCCTCGTCCTCATCCGCGTCCTCGTCCTCCTCGTCGTCATCGCCCTCCTCCTCCTCCTCCTCCGCCCCCCCCCCCCCCCCCCCCCCCCTCTCCCCCCCCTCTCCCCCTCGCCCCCACGCGCCCCAGGGATGGCTCGAAGAGGTCTTCCAAGGCCACCCCCTTGCTCCCAGAGATCTGTCGGTTCACCCTGGTTGCTCGCTTTGTTTCCTTAGATGTGTCTTTTCGTCCCTTTTCCCGCCAGCCCTCATGGGCAGGGCTTCTGAATGGGCCAGCGGGAATACTTGCGTGATCGCAAGCGCACCGGAAGACGCTGGGCGCCGTCAGAACGAAGCGTCGATGCAAAGGCCTAAATTAGCGCACAGAAGGAGAAGGGCGAAAAGAAAAGAGAAAGACGGCGGAAGAGACAAGCACGGGGCGAACCTCACTGACGCTCAGAAGAGCGCCAACACCAGGACGCACACCTGGGCGTCGCGCAGCACCTCGAAGAAATCTAAGGCCTCGACCCAGAAGAGGAGGAGCATGACGCGCGGGCGCTCGACGGAAAATCCGGATCGCCGGTCACCAGATGGCGCGAGGAGTCGGTGCGGGGAAGCCAAACTCCAGCGAAGAGTCGGCGAGGAGCCAGCGCCTGGGGGCACGAGCAGGCCCCGGGGAGGCGACGAGGGGAAGGACTGGGTGTCCGTCTACCCCGGGCGGGAAGAAGAGGCGGCAGACTCAGGGCGAGCCGCGGGCCCGGGAGCCCTGGAGGACCCCGATATAGGGAGAGGCCAGCAGGCAACCCACTGGCGCGGCCAGGGCGGCCACGGCGAGGGAAAGGCCCGCAGACCTGCCTGCGTCCTGGGTCGGGAGGGGTTCCCAGCGACCTCACGCGCAAGGCTGGGGCGGCGGGAATGCGAGCGGCAGGCCGTCGCAGGCGAGGCGCAGCCGCGAGACGCGGGACCCGGCAGCAAAAAGCGACGGGCCTCGCCGAGAAGATACTCCCCAGGGGGGAGCGCTGGCCCGAGCGCGACGGGCCGAGGGGGCCCCCCTGCGGCCCCGCTCGCCAGGGCGGCGCCGCCGCGCACCAGCCGCGGCGACGCCAACCGCCGCGCCGCCCGAAGGGGGCTGGCGGTGGTAACGGCAACGGGGCAGGTAGCAGCAAACAGCGGCAACCGTGGCGGCCGCGGCGACGCGCGGCGCGGCAGGCGGAAGCGGCGCGCGCAGCGTCGGCAGACGCGCCCCAGCCAGCTCGGTGGTCTCGTAGCGAGAGACGACGGAGGGGACTGGGGGACCCCGCCGCGGCGCTGGGGGCGGGCGCAGGGGAGGCGACCAGGCGCCGCGGGGCGCAGCGTCGCAAGCGACCCGAGCATGGGCGAGCCGGGGGGCCAGGGGAGGGCCGGCGCCCCCAGCTGCGCGCTGGCGGAGCGGCATTAGGCACGAGGCCTGGGCGGCGCACGAACCCGAGCGAGACGGGCCGAGGGGGTTTCCCTGCGGCCTCGTACGCTGAGGCAGCGCGGCCACGACGCCGGCCGCGGCGCCGCCAGCCGCCGCCGCCGCCGCCGACAAGGGAGACGGCGGCGGCGGCAGCAGCGGCGGCGGCGGCAGCGGCGGCGGCCACGGAGATGCGCGGCGTGACGGCGAAGGAAGCGGCACGCGCAGCGCCGGCCGCGGCCGCGGCGCCACGGCGCAGGCGGAGCCCACCGCGACGGAGGCGCTGGCGGCGCGCGCGGAAGGCCAGGTGGCCAGCGGCGCCAAGCCGCGCGCGGCAGTGGAGCCACCGCGGCGGCGGCAGTCGCCAGGGCGGACGAGCGCCGGCGGCGCAGTCAACGCGTCTGTCAGCGTGGGGCTGAATCACCCTGTCCACCCGCCAGCGTCGCGCCGCTGCTCACCGTGATGCTAGCCGGCGTGGCGCTGCGCAGCTGCGACTCTCAGCCGGAGACCTCCGCCCCCCCCCCCGCCCCCCGACGGCGGCTTGGAGGAGCGAAGGTTCGGGGGTGCAGGAGCGAAGGGTTTGGGGGGCTACAGGAACAAAGAGTTTTGGAGGCCACAGAAGCAGAAGGTTCTTTGGGGGGGCTACAGGAGAGAAGGGTTTGGGGGCTACAGGAGGGAAGGGTTTTCGGTCTACTGGAGCGAAGGGTTCTGGGCGCTGCGGGAACGAAGGGTTCGGGGGGCAACAGGGGCGAATGGTTTTCGGGCTACACGAGCGAAGGGCTTTCGGGCTACAGGAGCGAAGGGTACTGGGGGCTGCAGGAGCGAAGGGTTTCGGGGGCTACAGGGGCGAAGGCCTTGGGGGAGTTTGGGGCAACTCGATGCCGCGCCGTTGTTCGACGGAGACGTACTGAGGTCCAGGTGGTGGACGATGCAAGTGTGCTGCTGGTCGCGCTGGAAATAGCCGTCGTGCTGCTGGTGCCGCTCGTACTAGCCGACGAATTACTCGCCTCGGTCACCGTGGTATTGAGAGACCTTGACGTATCCGTCAGCGTCGTGCCGCAGCTCACCTTAGTGCTGGCCAGCATGGTACTGCTCGACTGTGCCGCACTCGAAGTCGTGCTGCTCGACGTTGCGCTGCTCGCCACGGCCACGCTCACGCTGCTGCTCAATGTCGTCGCGGAGCTCGCCGTAGAAATGACCGTGGACGCCGCGCTGCTCGAGACCGTACTTGACGTGACCGCGCTGCTCGAGGTCGCTCTGCTGTTCATCTGAGACGTACTGAAGCAACGGTGCACTGGAAGTCCAGGTGGTGGACGATGCAATTGTGCTGCTGGTCGCGCTCGAACTAGCCGTCGTGCTGCTGGTGCCGTTCGTACTAGCCGACGAAGTACTCGTCTTGGTCACCGCGGTATTGAATGACCCTGACGCATCCGTCAGCGTCGCGCCGCTGCTCACCTTAGTGCTGGCCGGCGTGGTGCTGCTCGACTGCGTCGCACTCGAAGTCGCGCAGCTCGACGTTGCGCTGCTCATCACGACCACGCACGCGCTGTTGCTCACTGTCGATGTGGAAGTGGCCGTGGACGTCGCGCTGCTCGAGACCGCACTGGTCGTGACCACGCTGCTCGAGGTCGCACTGCTGGTCGTCTGAAGCGCACTGCTAGACAACGATGCACTGGAATTCAGGGTGGCGGACGATGCAATTGCGCTGCTGGTCGCGTTCGAGCTGGCCGTCGCGCCGCCGGTGCCGCTCGGACTAGCCGTGCAAGATCTCGCCCTGGTCAGCGTGGTATTTTGTTGACATTGTCGCATCCGTCAGTGTCGCGCCGCTGCTCGTCGCAGCGCTGGCCGGCACGGCGCTGCTCGATAGTGTCGCGCTCGAAGACCTACGGCCCGACATTGTGCTTCTCGTTTCAACCTCGTTCACGCTGCTGCAGATTGCCGTCGCGGAGCTCACCGTGGAGGTGGCTGTGGACGGCGCAATGCTCGAGACCGTGCTGGCCATGACCGTGATGCTCGAGGACACTCTGCTGGACGTCTGAGACGTACTGCGAAACAACGAAGCACTGGAAGTCAAGGTGGTGGACAATTCAATTGCGTGGCAGGTTACGCTCGAGCTGGTCGTCGTGCTGTCGGAGCCGCTCGCAATAGCCGTCGGAGACCTCGTCCTGGGCAGCGTGGTGTTTAATGAACCTGCCGTATCCGTCAGCGTCGTGCCGCTGCTCACCGTAATGCTGTTTGGCGCGGTGCTACTCGACTGTGTCGCATTCGAAAACGTACTAATCAACGTTGCACTGCTCGCCACGGCCACGCTCACGCTGCTGCTCAGCGTCGTCGTGGAGCTCACCGTGGAAGTGGCCGTGGACGTCGCACTGCCAGTGGCCGCACTGGTCGTGGCCCTGCTGCTCGGGTCGCGCTGCTGGTCGTCTGATGTGTACTGCTAGACGACGATGCACTAGGAGTCAAGGTGGTGGACGATGCAGTTGTGCTGCTGGTCACGCTCGAGCTGGCCGTCGTGCTGCTGGTGCCGCTCGCACTACGGCCGCGAGACCGTATTTGTCGTGACCGTGCTGCTCGAGGTCGCACTGCTGGTCGTCCGAGACGTGCTGCAAGACACGGATGCACTGGAAGTCCAGGTGGTGGACGATGCAGTTGTGCTGCTGGTCGCGCTCGAACTAGCCGTCGCGCTGCTGGTGCCGCTCGTACTAGCCGTCAAAGAACTCGTCTCGGTCGGCGTGGCATTGAAACCCTGCGTCGTATCCGTCAGCGTCGCGCCGCTGCTCATCGTCATGCTGGCTGGCGTGGTGCTGTTCGACAGTGTCCCATTCGAAAACGTACTGCTCGACGTTGCGCTGCTCGATTCGACCTCGCCACGCTGCTGCTGACTGCCGTCGTGGAGCACCCAAACTGGGGGAGAATGACCTCGTGGCCTTCGGACCCACGGAAGTAGGGGAGGCGGGGGGAGGGAGGGCACTCGCTCGCGTGACAATGGGTCCCGTCGCGGGCCCATCGGCGCGGAGGGGGCTGCAGGGCGCCCCCGTGGCCGTCTGAAGGTCGCCCGGAGGGGAGGAGCCTCTCCAGCCACTTCTGCCCTGGGTGTGCGGGCTGATGTCACCTGCTTGTGGCGGTGGCTGCCTACCTTCGTCAAGGGGGACCTGGATGGGGGTGTCGCAGGCCTGCGCAAGGCTCGGGGTGAACCTGGGCAACGGGGTCCCTCCTGGAATCCCCACCGAAAGCCCTGCAGGAGTGTGGGGGGGGGGGTCCGGTAGGCGGGCTGCCTTCCCCCTCTCTCTCCAGAGGGGAAGGCGTGCCAACCTCGAGGTCAACGAGCTCCCAATCCTCGCCCGCCTGTGGGAGGCGCTTGGACCGCCAAGGAGAGCTGCTGCGGGGGGGGGCTCTCCGTTGACTGAAGACACTGAGACTGGCAGGGCCGCCTCGCCTCGGTACTGGTGGCTAACGACCACGCTATTGGTAGAGAAGGATGGCGACTGGCGGCCCTGCCCGCGGGGGTCTCCCGCCACGGTGCCCTCGCTAAACCCTGCAACGAGTGAGGCCGCCTGTCTTGGGGGGTAGTGGCCAACGGCCACGCGATCGGGGAGGGAAGGCAGAGCCAGGCGGTTCCACTGGGGGGGTGCCGGGCGCCCTCTCCTTCTGCCACCCATGGGTGGCTGGCGACTGTCAGCCTGGGGGGGACACGGCCACCGACATCGTCTCCGAATTGGTGGCTAACGGCCACATTATTGGTTGAATCGTCGTCGTCTGGGCCCAGATCGGGAAAGCAAACATATCAGAGCACGACTAAGGGGGGGAAGCAGCTAACGGTTGCATTGTTTGGAGAAGTGAGATCAGATCGATCGACCACGCGAGCGGTGCCAGTTGGCAGAGCGGAGACGGAGGCCTGATCAAACGGGGGGGATCGATCATGTCCGGCGATGTTCTGCACAGCAACATGCAGTCCTTCCATGGTCCCTGGGGGTCAAGCCCAGTCTAAGGCGACCGCCGCGTGGGCAGGGGGACAGATGGCGGCGCCGCGGGCGCGGGCTGGGGCTCCGCGGCAGCAGCGTCGGGCGCCCCCTCGACCCGCGGGGAACGCGAAGCGGGCAGAATTACGACGAGGACCCAGCCGTGGCGACGAGAGTTCCCCAGGACACGAAGTCGAAATGCACGACGCTGCGCTGCTCGTCTCGACCGCGCACACGCTGCTGCTCAATGCCGTCGTGAATCCCACCGTGAAGGTGGCCGTGGATGTCGCGTTGCTCGAGACCGTACTGGTCGTGACCGTGCTGCCCGAGGTCGCACTGCTGGTCGTCTGAGACGTACTGCAAGACAACGAAGCACTAGTCAAGGTGGTGGAAGATGCAGTTGTGCTGCTGGCCACGCTCGAGCAGGTCGTCATGCTGCTGGTGCCGTTCGTACAAGCCGT